AAAAAAAAAATTTTCTACTAGAAAGCTATTTTATTTGGTGTTTTTGTTGTATATATATACGCATTGTTTTGAATTTTTTATGTTTTTTTTCTTTTTTAAAATCGTTATATAAATTTCTAGATAATAAAGTAAAGCAAAATCATATAGTGTACTGTTTCTTCTAGGGGTTGACAAGCTCAGCTCAGTTCCGCTCAGAGGAACTGTTCGAACAGCTCTTTTGAGCTGAGCTGAACTGGTGAACCAGTTCGTTTGAGCTGTGAGCTGTGTTCCCAAAACAGAACACTTGTTCTGTTATGGGAATTATTTCCCGAAAACGGAACAAAAGTGTTCTGTTTTGGGAACACAGCTCACAGCTCAAACGAACTGGTTCACCAGTTCAGCTCAGCTCAAAAGAGCTGTTCAAACAGTTCCTCTGAGCGGAACTGAGCTGAGCTTGTCGACCCCTATTCATTATCCGTAATCTACCAATTTCATAAAAACTCTGATTCTACGCAAGCGTTTAATAGTTTCTATTGACCCTTATAATTAGTCACAAAGAAAAAATGTTTCAACATATCCATTATATTCTTATAGATGCATTTTTTTTCTATTATCTGACTATAAGAAAGTATTACGAAGACTATATTATTCGTATTTTATGATGATTCGTATGTATTTTTGTTTTTAGTATGCTGCTCATCGTGATGAATACAAACAACGTTATAGACAATTAGATGAACGATTACTTTTTCATGGTTGTCTTGGTACTTCAGCTAATCAAATTGTTCAAGAATGTTTTAATCGTTCATTTGCTGGTGTCAATGGTATGAAATTTTTTTTGAAAAACTATCTAATAATAAAATCATATTTCATAGGTGTTGCATATGGTTGTGGTGTATATTTTCATTCGAATGCAAATTATAGTCATTCATATGCAAAACCGAGCACTTCAGGAGAACGTACTATGTTCTTAGCACGTGTTCTCATCGGTAAAACCTGTCTTGGTAGTTCATCAATGAAAGTGCCACCAGCAGGTTATGATACAACTACAGATGGACAAAATATTTTTGTTATATATCATGATGCTGGTGCTTATGCTGATCATCTGATCACATACAAATAAAAAATGTCCTATGATAAACTTACTATCAATCATGTATGTAATAATTCGAGAATGTTAATTATTATATGATTTTTACGTTTAAACGCTGTCGTACTCATGTCATTGACTTTATTAGTTTTTATATATTTGCAAAACTTGCAAATAAAAAAATAAACTCTGTTTAAATCAGAATAAAATAAATATGATTGAAAAGATATTTCTTGTTTACAAATAAAGCTATCAGTTGAATTGCAATAAAGTTAATCAAACTTTAACGATCAGTATTATGTGAATTTCAATTACGAGGAAAATGTATTCGCCTGTAAAATCACTTTTCGTTTTCAACTATCACCATCCAAGTTTTCAATGTGGCATGTTATCGGCTTTGTAATTGATTTTTGCCCTATGAACATGAGACTGAGGAGTAGCTGAATTATCAAATTTAGAGTTGTATTACTTTGGAGTTATTTCTAGTGATTATAAACGATCTCTGACAAAATGTCAGCACAAAATGTGATTATTCAGGTTGCCACTAATTCTATACTCCTAATAGGAAAATCGAATAAAACGCTGCTACTTGGTTTAGCGAAGACTAGAAAATCAAAACGAAAGCCTTGTTGTATGTTACAAATATATTTATTCTATGATTTCCTACCATTGGATCAAACTATCATTATTAATATAAAGAGTGTTTCGAACGTATGTAGGAAAAGTAAACGTTCATAATTCAAGAGAGATTTGATTATTACTTTGTATTATATGTTAGTAGATCCTTTAAAGTTTTATTTCTTCTAATAGGATATAGAATAAGTGTTCAAAATGATCACCATCATCTAAAACATGTATAAGTCGTTACTTTCGAAATATTAGAAAGAAAATATAACATGATTTTATCTATATATCAATTTATTTTCGTTATTCATACTAATTTTAAATTGAACTTGAATATGAATAAAATTATTTTTATTTTGATATTATAAACACAGATAATTATCAGAAAATAAGTTGAATAAAATTTCGAAGAACATTTAATCATATTATTTTTTAAAAACACGTTGAAATCGCTTGAATTTTTACTTGGTCCTTACATTCATATGAAATCATTTGTATGAACGTCCTTCTATTTGTGAAGCTATGCATGTAAAGCCATAACGTCATGGAATGGATATGTTCCAAATCCACTTGTTTTTAAATGTGGAGAATTTTTTTTTTGAAACTCTTCATTTGACTTATCTTGACTTGAAAAGATTGTGATTTGACATAATTTAGACATTAAAACATTTGAAACGATTCGTTTTTCATAGAAAATAGCTTTAATACAGTCATTTTCATGGATGGGTGTGGATGTCGGAATGCAAGGAATGAATACTCGCATCTACATCCCATCCACATCTATGATAGAGCCTGCGACAGTGTAACTTGCGATACATTTGATTTTGGTATGTCGTTAATATGGCATAGAGCGTATTTTTCTAGTAGCGATTCCATTTCGAATTCTCTCAAAAGTAAAGAAAAAAAAAGTTCGACAAGAGTAATCCTAAATTTTCAGCGGAGGCATTGCTGACGAAGTCCTATGGCATTTTTAGCCTTCTTGCTGACAAATAGAAAATATTATATTGAAGTCATCCATCGTTTTTTATTATATCAGTATATATATTTGTCTATCTGTTAAAAGATTAAAGAATTAATATTGATCAGCGCACACACATTAATTTTTTTGCTTCATTCTTCATTTATCATGAAATAAATATTATTTTAAGTTAATAGCGTTATGCGTTTGTCAAAGTCTTATTTCAAAAAAAAAACAGTACTTTTCTTAAATTCATTTTGAATTTTTATCCGTCTGCCTCTGCTTTACGGTATTTATTATCAATGATCTTCGTTTTATTGATGCATTATAAGTTGAAATTCATTGGAAATCATTTATTTTTATGCTCACACACGTTCTATGTTAGTAGATTTCTTGGAAACATGTTGGCTTAATCTATTGATAGACATGTGTTAATGTATATCTAACTTTTAATCTCGTTGTCTTTTCCTTTTTCAGATAAAACACAAGCTAATGATAATATACATAAATGGATAAAATTAAAAATACACTTTCTATATAAAATACAAGACAAAGAAAAGAGAAAAAGGAGAATAAATATATGTAGAAGAGAAAACTAAGAAGATATATGTCAGAAATAATATGATCTCGTGTTATCAATATTGATCATAACGATATGTCAAATATAATGTAGATGGTTAATATTGACGCACTTAGTGAGCTTGGTCGCAAATAAATGCCTTATGACGAATATTAAAGAACGATCATCAACTGTTATAAATGTTCAGATTTTTATTAGCAATCACGTAGAAAATTCATATATCAAGCGAGAAGAAATTATTTCTCTCATATGTTTATATGATTTGTGATGAAAGTCATAATATCTAATGAGGCATATGTAAAGAAACATAAGAAAAGAAAAAAGAATGGTAAACTTCGAATGAGCTATAAAAATAGTCATCCTTATATTCATTCATCAATGTATTCATAAGTAGATAATATTCCATACTAAATATCTATTTAGTCTCCTTATCAATGATAGTGAAGAAAGAATAATTCATTCATTTGAACAATTCCTTCGTTTACGGGTAAGTGATTGTATAATTAAATTTAATGTTTATCTTCTCTACTGAACTCAAGCAAAATATAAAACAAAAAAAATACTCAAAACATATTGTTACTTATGAAAACGAGTCATTAAGTTATCGTGAAAGTTTATTGTTTTCGATAAAATTTTCATTCTCAATGTGTTCAGGGTAAATGTGTCATACGCTCGAATAATATCCCACTAACTGCTAAACTTTCTCATTAATGTCTATACATTCACACGACTTGGGAGTAGGGTCCTCCCATATTTCGAATAACATATTGATATATATTTATGCTTAGTAGATAGAAACTTTCGTTATGTCTAAAAATTACAAATATTGAAATTTCCTAATAAATATCGAAATTTCTCGGTGCTTTCTGAAATGACGGGGTGCAGTAGATGAACAAAGTGGTCCTATTTGAAAATCACTGCACAAGTTACTTTCACATTAGGATTTCTTCTTCTCTCTTTGATACTAGACTACTCTTGATTTATATGGATAATTTTCGTAGATAACTCGTAACGTATTCGACGAGATAGGATTCCAATGCAAAAGCCTCATTGTCTGAAACTTGAGAAAGCTCATTAAGAGCTACAAAATGGTGCTAAAACACAAATGAAAACATGCTACCCTCCAAATATTTCAAAGATCATGCTGTTAAAATAGAATGAAAAAGATGTTAGCGCAATCCCTGCGGAATTAAAAATGTGAAACACGATAGATCTGTTATTACTAATTAAATGGAAATCGTTTTGTTCCATTTCTTTGCGATACATTTGTAGCTAGCCGTTTATCTGATGGTTTAGAACTACAGTTTCTCTGTCATGGTTTATGACGGGTTCGGAGATTTTCTGTCACGGTTTCTGATGGGTTCAGAGCTCCTCTGTGACGGTCTGTGATAGGTACGAAATTTCTTTGTCACGGTCTGAGAGGGAGGGGGATGGGTCCAAAATTTTTACCCTATACACTTCAACACTCCTTTCAGACCGTGTTTCACAAAATAGGTTGGACAGCTCAGTCAACACGCTCTCCATTATTCATCACAAAACCAGTGCTCTTTTTTTCGCAGAGAAACAGAGCTTCCCGAGACGGGTGTGGGTGAATCTGTTCATGAAGAGATACTAACACACACATCCACACACCACACCCACACCCAGATCTGACGAAACAACTGCTCTGCATCAAGCCCATTCTATAGGGGTTGGCATAGGTCCTCAAGACCCAACAATAGCGATAGGCATAGATCCTCAAGGGCTTTCGGATGGGGGCACCCATACGTCGCTAAGCCCTATCATATAGGAGTATCCATGGATCCTGAATGCTTATCCTATGGAGACACCCATGGGTTCTCAAGGCCTATTCAATAGGGATAGCCATAGGTCAGATTCTCAACACCTATCCTATAGGGATACCTCTGCGTCCTTAAGGGCTATCCTAGGATGTGGGTGAGTGCTAATTTTGATTCATACATCCGCACTCACACCTCGCACTTCAGACTCGACACCCAACATCAATTACTGGATGACGTAAGAGTGACGTTCTTCCAACAGTTTCGCGGCTAATGCCTAAATGTCGTTGAAACCTTATGACCATTACTGGCAGGTATCTGTGGAACCATTAGCGATACCTGACACAGCTTCCCAGCATAGCTCTTGTAGAGCAACCGAAACTACCACAAGATAGTCGTTGAAAAGTTAACAATGCAGAAAGTCAATAGCCGTTGAAGATCTATAGATACCGCTCATGAATACCCTGCAATATTCGTGGGTAGCTTCATAGGAAAGCTCTGGAGAACTTATGGGTACCTCCATAGGATAGGGCTTGAAGACATATGGGTCTCCTCTAGGATAGCCCTGGAGCAGCAATCGATAATGACATAAGATGGCCCTTGAAAAACTCTTGGTACCTTACTAGATTAGGGCTTGACGACCTAGGGGCATTCCTATAGGATACCCCTTGAGGGATTATGAGTACCCTTCCCTATAAGATAGCTCTTGTGGATCTATGGGTACCCTTATAGGATAGTCCTTGAGAACCTATCGGCACCTCTATAGAAAATCGACTTTTGATACAAAAGAGCTGCACCATCAGATGAGCTTTCTTGACAAGAACTGGTCAAAAATTTCAACTCCTGCCAAAAGAACTGTTCGAAAAGCTCCTAGGAAAGCAACGGAAGCTAAATTATCGCACCTCTAGTAATGAGCCGATGCTAATATACGGCCTGCAATCGTATATCAACAACATCTGTTACAGTCTGTGAGTATGTTTGCAAACTTTTACCTTTTATGCTTCAACACTTCTTTTAGACCGTGGTTCACAAAATAACAGAAGTAGATATGTGAAAAGAACCTGTTCTTGACGTATCCTGAAGACCAAACTGA